CACAGTAAGGTGCGCTCTCACGGGGAGTCTGAGTTCCCAGCTCCGGCTTACTGTAGAAAAGACAACAGACAGTGCTGCTCCTCTGCTCCAAATGGGAAAGTCTCTTGAGTAGGAATTAGTGATATTCAAGAGATAAAATGAGATGTTACAATATTGTTCCAACAACTTCAAGGACACCTAACAACAACACTCTTCTTTTTCTCACCCTTTCAGTGGTCACCTTGGTGTCACTGTGAGTTGGCATCAGAATCATGAGCATTTTGACTTAAACCAAGTTTCTCTGTGGTGCACACAACTGCTACACAGCCCAGACTCAGATCCCAAGAGCTGGGACACCTGAAGACTTCCACAGTTCCTAATTTGTACCCAGAAGGCTTCTAACTGGAGGAGGGAGGCTCTGGGAACTTGGAAATGCTGGCTGAGAGAGAAGACTTTCTAGTCTACACTAGGCTCTCAGGACCAGACAACATAGCTCCCCAAGACTCCTCATTAGCATTTTGTAAACATTTACAAGTGTGGCTTTAATTAACTCTACTGTGCTTGATGTGAACATTTCAAACAGCACATGTACACACGCGCGCGTGTGCACACACACACACACACACACACACACACACACACACCATTATGCTTTATGCTATCTCATTTCCCTATCTGTTTAATAGGCTATAGATGGGCTTTTGGTATGACTTGCAATTCATGGGAAAAACCAGATTGATGCCAGTGGTTCTTATACCAAGCACTCTTGAATCCTCAGACTAGAAATATGAGGCCTACAACTGAGAAGCCATTTTAGGAGCCTATAATGAACCGCACAGACTGAATTGTTTTATTAAATTAAGTTTAGCAGTGGTCACTTTCCTTACAAGGTAATAGAAACAATTGCTAGGCATTTTAAAGATGCTTTATTGTGCTTCTGTAATTATATCTAAGCAGGTTTAGGCAGAATGGGGTTTAAAACACTAAAAGATTCTTTAATAGAGATAGCATCTGATTTGGGTGAACGAACACGCAGATGCAGACAGACTTGATGAGAATCAGACTACGTGAGAGGATACCGTCTATTCCCTTCCAGTGGGTGCTTACAAGTAATAGTCATTCCAAAAATCCAACACAGAAATCATTTGCTCCTGTGACACAGGAGTCAAGTGGAAGGATTCCTGAGGCACACTTTGTATTTCCTGACTCAAAAGCCCCATTTTAAATAAGCATCTCAGATGATTCCATGGAAATCAAAGTTCCAGACTGGAGTTTTATTAAAACACACAGAGAAACACACACACATATTCAAAATCACAGCACTTCTGGACTATGTGGCACTTGGTATGGGTGAATGGGTACCAAGATGGTACAGTAGCTCGAACCAGCACATGGCCCATTCACATCCCTGGTCACTGACTACATCCTGAGGCTCACACAGGGCTGATTCTAACTTGCCTCAGCTGGAGGACTTAGAAGGAAACTGGTGTGTGAATAGTTCTATTTCCCTGCCCATACCTAAGGCTGGCTCTGAAATGTGTGGATTACACACGTCCCAGAATATTCCCAGCTGCCTGTAGCTGTAACTGATGAGAAGGGTAAGCTGCCTCTGATGGGCTCTCCCACTTCACTCCTGCTCTTCTAAGGTGCTTCCTCAACTCCCAAATAAACCACCTGCAATCAAATCCACATTACCAAAGGAATAGCAAAGGGCAGCAAACATCTGAGCTGAGCAAGGACCACAGGAAGAAAAGACGGACGTTATAAAAACCATCTTGTTTGAGCAATCTGTCCCATGTGCCCAAAACAGGATTCTTGAGTGGTTCTTGGAGCATTTCAGATTAGGAATGCTCAACTTGTAAAACTAGGCAAATACAATTTTTAAAATTCCATTTTTAAAACAGTATGACTCCAAGTGTTTTGGATAAGGGATGGCCAACTAGATCCATGAAGCAAAGAAGAAAACAAGCAACCTATTCCTCTTTCAGAAACACTCATAAAAACTATTTAATAAGGTTCTCAACCTATGGGTTGCAACCCCTTTGGGGGCCAAATGATCCTTTCTCAGGAATCTTATGTCAGATATTTACATTATGATTCATAACAGTAGCAAAATTACAGTTAGGAAGTAGCAACAACAACAACAAAAAATAACTGATTGATTGGTGATCACCACAACATGGGGAACTGCATCATTAGGAAGGCCGAGGGCTTAGGTCTTACTAGTTACAGCCTGAAAAGCTTTTCAGTTATGTTCTTCTTCACCTCTATCATCCTCAGTAACTGTGATGGTTTGTATACACTTGGCCCAATTAGAGGTGTGGCCTTGTTGGGAGTAGGTGTGTCACTGTGGGCATGGGCTTTAAGACCCTCATCCTACCCGCCTGGAAGACAGTCTTCTCCTGTTTGCTTTCAGAACAAGATGTAGAACTCTCAGCTCCTCCTACACCATACCTGCCCAGATGCTGCCATGTTCCTGCCTTCATCAAGGACTGAATATCATGGAGGTTCATAATGGACTGAACCTCTGAACCTGTAAGCCAGCCCCAATTAAATGTTGTCCTTAAAGAGTTGCCTTGGTCATGGTGTCTGTTCACAGCAGTAAAACACTAACTATAAGAATCAAAGAGACAAATGAAAGATTACAGGCCATAGGCATGGTATGTAGAGAAGTGAAGAGATAAGCTCAAGGGTTTCCTGTGCTTCTCTCTTCTGTTACATTGCTTTTCATGAAGGATGGAGCACAGAGCCGAGAACATAGCTTGGTGCAGAGCCAAGCCTGGGAATGTTTAGTTCATCATCATTTTACAACCAACACTCGGTTGTTCTTCATTGGTGTTTGTCTTTTGAACCATAACTACGAAAGCACTGATCAGGAAAAGGATTTTAAATCATTGACTATTTACTCAGGAAAGTAACATTTAAGAAAATGTCTAGAAGAAACAAGAACTATCCTTCTATAAACCCTGGTAGGGCACCAATAAGTACCTCACAAATGTGTTTTGTAAAATATTTTTGTACATTTATTTTCAGCAAAAAATATTTTCTCTGCCAGGGATCGTACAAGCTTTGAATGAATATAAGATTATATGCTATGTTTCAATGAATTAAAAGTTTTAATTAGGCAGATAGTTCACAATTCTTATATCTTTTTATAAATGTGTGGATGTATGTGGTGGCAGTGTATGTGTATGTACATATGTGACTATGTATGTGTATAAGGGTGTGTTTGTATATATATATGTGTATGTGTGAGTATATATGCATATGAGTATGTATGTGTGTGTGTGTGTGTGTGTGTGTGTGTGTGTGTGTGTGTGTGAAGGTGTATGTTTGTGCATGACTATGTATGTATGTATGTGTGAGTATGTTACTGTGTGTTATTATGTATGTGTGTGTGTGAATGTGTATGTATGTGTGTATTCTGGATAGAGTTCTTTCACCGATGCCTGATATTTATATGAGTACCAGGGATCCAAACTCAGATCTTCATGCTCATGTAGTATGCACTTTACATACGGAATCATCTCCCCAGTGGATCATTGTTATTCTAACTTCTTGGTATATTGTTGATTGTCTAAAAACGGAAATGCCTTACTGTTTCTTGGTTACTGGGAAGAAACTAGAAGAATTACAGAATCCTATACAATGACTTATAAAGACTGTATTCTATCTCTTTCTCCTCCCTTACATATAAAAACCAAGATATTGGCCAAAGCTAATGCAGAATGGGATAACCAAGAAGATGCGATTAAAGCAAGAGGCTTTTGAACAGTCTACAATTCTTTGCTGGATAGTTTTATGACACAAGTAAGGGTCATTTTGGAGAGAGGGAACCTCAGTTGAGAAAATGACCTTACATCAGATTGCCCTGTGGGCAAGCCCACAGCACATTTTTTTGGGGTTGACAACTCAGAACACTGTGGCTGGTGCCACACCTGGGCTGCTAGTCCTGCAAGGGATAAAAAGCCAGCTGAGCAAGCTACAAGGAGCAAGCCAGTAAGCATCATCCCGCCATGGCCTCTGGCTCAGTTCCAGACTGTAGGTTCCAGCCTTGTTTGAGTTCCTGCTGTAACTTTCCTCAGGGATGGACTGTGGGATGGAACTGAAAACTGAAATAAACCTTCTTGCCCCCACGTTGATTTTGGTCTATAGTCTTTTATCACAGTAATAGAAATGCCAATTAAGACAAAGTCTGAAGTCTTAAGAACAAGGCTTCAGGGTTCTATCTACACCACCAGAGCACACTCTGCCACCATTCCCTCCTGAATATCCCCAGCCTGAAGTAGATCACTGTGGCTGCAAGAGTGAGACAGAAGACCCTCCAGCCATCTCTCGCACAGTCAAACAGAACACACTGAAACTATTATAATGCACGTACACAACTCAAAACACAACATTACAAGTTTTACAACAGCTTGTCATTTTCCTAAAAGAGGTAAGTAAACTCATCAGGAAAAAGCAGAATGTCTTCTGTCTCCTCTAGAAACAGCTTCCTGGCTGAGTCACTCTCAGTTTAGGGTTGAATTTAAACTTGCTTACTTATTTATTTGACATGAAACCTCACTATGTTGTTCAGCTGGATCTGGAACGAAGCAATTCTCTGGCTTTTCCCTCACCTGCAGTTTGGTGCATGGCATCACAGCCAACTTCACTTAAGCATTCAAGGATCTTAGGAAGATAGATTCTTTGATCTCTTGGTTATATACGGCAGGGCGGATGAAAGGGCTCGTCCAAGTATGGATCTCTATGTTGTTTCTCAGTAAATCAAGTGCTTTTCTGTTTTGTTTTTGGGGCAGAATCTCATGTAGATCAGGTTGGCCTTACACTGTGTAGTTTAACCTCCTGATTTCCTGTCCCTAACTCCCAAGTGCTAGGATTCTGGGAGTACATCACCAACCCGGCTAAATCAGGTACATTTCTAGCACAGGAAAATATTGCTACCAAATGTAAAGCATACAAGACAACAACTTAGTCAAGGAGGGTGTTTCTGAACAATGTAAGTATCAGCATTTAATTACCTGGTTTCAGAAGACGAGGAACTTTCGTTGGTGTCTGTCCTTTTACTTCTTGGGTATGAGAAAGAAGATGGAGTCAGCTCATTACTTCCCAGGCGGTCTGGGAAGATTCGGTCTTTACTCAAGTTGACTTCTGAATAGGGACAATTGGCACCACTAACAGATTAAAAGAAGAGAAAAGTGCACTCCCATTAGATCATAATTATATCAATTAGAATTGTGTGCTAGGGAATGTAAGAGTCCAAAGTTGAACCAAGTATGTTACATATATGTGTGTATCACACACTAACATAAATGCAAGGCTAAAGATACAGCAATAAGATACATCTTTTCAGATAAGTTAAGTTCATTCTGATAGAGAACATATCTGCACTTGATTTCACGGACTCTGCTGCACACCTTCAGATGAGGGGCAGTCAGAGGATTCATCTGTGCTTTTCAAGGCATGGCCTATACTTGCTCTGGGAATAATCAGCCGCAAGACAGATCCACACTTGGGAGATTTATAGCTATTTAATTTCCCTTATAACACTAACTTTCAATGTCTCCATGGACTACTACTACGCCTGGGACTGCAGTTACAGCAGATTTCCTCGAGGACACATAAATGCTTTAGAACTAATTCTAACCCTAATGTGAAAAGGGGCCAGAGGCCAACCTTTTCTATCTGCACTTAGAGGGTAAACTCTCAGGTGCCTTGTACCTGTGACCTAAGTAGAAGAAACTAAGGTTACTAAGTGTTAACTTAGCATTAGCTAGCAGATGCCTGTCTTGGGGCTTAGCATTTCTGTCTCTCAGGCATCTATCTGGGCACCAGGCTTCCTGATACATCAAGCCCTCCCGTTGACTTCCTATCTTGCCCCTTTGCTGTGAGAGGCCTTCTTAAGTCTGGAGATGGTTTAGACATTAGGTACATTATATTGGTATCTTTGTTTTCTTTTTGTCAGTTTCTATGATAATGGAATTCTTAATAACCACTCAGGGGAACGTTTTAAACACAGCCAAGAGAAGCTGAGACACTCTCCTGGGGAAAGAAGAGAAGAGTTTGAAATGCTCCCTGCTAAGAGTGACACAAAATTCATCATGGATACCTTGTAAGCAAAATGCAAACTTTAGTAAGTACATGCTGCTCTACACTTGTGCCTTAAGCAAAACTGATAACACCATCACATTAACATGAATTTATGCCATGTCAATCCAACCACAACAAAAACCCAGAAAGCAATTGAATGAAATCTCGATGGAGCACGTACACTATATTAAGCACTGTGCTGTACTTATACAAACTGTTTTAATCTTCCCAATACTCCATAAAAAAGACATTTCACATGACACGCTAGGGTTTAAAATGATTAAGTGACATCAGTCTTCAGTTTCCTCATCATCAGCATCAATTCATTGAACACTATCAACTTACTATCTATTATATTAGCTAACTTTGCAAGCATTAGAAACTTAATAACATGAGGAGGTAAAAGCCCACGATTCACTGAGTGATAGTCTAGGGGAAGACAGGCAATGCCTAATCACACAAATAAGTGATGTAGCTTTACACTGGAAAGGCTTCTGGGAACAAAGAGTATAGCACAAGAGAGCAAATGAGGATGCTTTATAGGCAGTGAGGAAGGGCTTCCCTAGGAGAAGAACAAATCCCTAAGGGTCAGGACAAAGTTGTCCACATCTACTTCCCCACACTTAGGAGGAGGCAGTGCAACAAATGGAAGAGTGAGCCTGTCAGGGCTAGAAGTTGAGATGTCGGGAAGCAGGAGACACAGGGAAGGATAGAAGCACCAGGTAGTAATTCAAAGTTGACGCAGTAGATCACAGGCAGTAATTCAAGGCTTTATCTTGGGTTCAATTTGAAGCCTTTGGGTAATCTCTAAATTAGAGAAGTAACAGGGATTAACTTGAGTGTAGGTGATGGAAATGTAGGGAAGGTTAACGGACTATCAGCATCTCCTGCCATCCCATGATGCACTGCAGGCCAAGAAACAGTCTGTGATATGGGGGAAGCCAGAGTGTTTCATTTATTGTTCTGTGTTTGAAGAATCTGAGGCAGAAGAGACACCTTATACATGCATGCATATACATATACAGACATAAACACTCTGAGATAAGATGATTAGTGGTAAATAAATTTAGGAAAAATTTAGGAAAAAAAAAACAATAATCATGGAAAGTTTACTATTAATATTTAAGTAAAATTGCTTTTTGCCCGAGGTCACACAACAATAAAATAGCTCAGCATAATGAGTCCACTCACTTGATAACATGCATACTATCTATCAGTCAGGCATGAAGAAAAAAATCTGACCACATTCACAATTCAAACACTGCATGGGGTCCTGCTCAGGGTGCCTGAACTAACCAAGAGTTCATGGGTACTAAAATGGCAAAGCTAGTGCCTCTTACTGTGAACAGATACTTAGAATGGGACAACTGGTAGCTTAGTTAGGAGGCAGCCAGCCAGGTCTGGGCAGGGTGCAGAGCACGGAATGACATATCCCCCGAAGCTATCTGAACAGGATAAGGTTGCTGGGGACACCTTACATGTACCATGCATCTTAGCGGGCCCACTATATTATTCCTCAAGTTCAGGGACTACAAACACAAAGCCTGACCTGCCTGCCCTCTAGTCCTCAAGACAGAAAAGCCCAGAAGGCAGCATCCTGTGGGTGTTTGGTCCTTCAGCCACCTGTACCTGCCAAAGAAGATGTGCTGTACTGTCATGTGGCTACCTGAGGGTACAACACCTTCTTTATTGCTCAGCTTCAGTTCAGGAAGGGTGCAAATGTCCACTGAAATCCTATTCAATGTCACAACTTATCATCATCCTCGGCAATTCTCCCTAAAACCATCAAACATCACAGATAACCAGGTCCTCCCAAGCTCTTGAGTCTCTGCTCTTGAAGGAGTTGAGTTCTCCCAGCCTCAGATCACAGTCATCTCTGATGCCTTCCACTGCTCCTCTAGTGGATGTTTTTCATTGGATTTATGTACTTCAACTTCTTGGCAGGAAAAGAAAAAGCCAAAGATAATGCTTTGGTTCCTTTTAGCGGACAGGAGCGTGCTCGCAATTCAGTTTCCCTCACCCTTAAGTTCCTGGCGTAACAAGCAATGAACTACACCGTGTATATTTACTTTGGAAGGCATCAAGGTTGTAGGACACACCACTAGCTTCATACAATGGAAAACCAAGAAGGAATTTTGGAATGGTCTATGTCCCCAGTGAAATACCAGTTACAAAGCAGACAACTGTTCAAGCTCCTTGAAAACTTCTGCTATTGACTAAACGGAAAACTTGAAGATAGGTCGGAGAAATGTGAGATGTTGGTCACGGGCCTTGTTGTCTAAATGCCTCTTTTTTCATTTGAAAATAGATAGATTGCCCTTGCTCATCCAGTCAGTTGAAAGGGAAACAATCCAGCCTTCTGAAGAAATTCCTTAATGAGTAAGAAAATCTGCTCTACCAAGGCAGCCAGCCATGTGGTGGTCAGTCACAGATATACGCCAAGCCAAGCCTTCCCTCTGCCTTCCAACCCTGAGCAAACCTCCTCCTCACACCTGCACCGTGGAGAGAGGGATGCCAGTTGGCTCCTGAGGTGGGAACTGATGACTAAAGGGGGCGTGACAACACATAGCAGAGCCCCACAGCAACGGCAGAATGAGAAATGCTTCAGGCAGTGGCTGATAGGGGCTGCCAACTAGCTCTGTTGTCTCATCTATGCATAGTGACGAGCAAGTATGGTGTCACAGGCTGAGTTTTTATTTGAAAATGAAGGCGCCCTACCCAGAGGACTGATCTTCCCTAACACTCATCCATACAACCTCGGTAGCAATTCCAAGAGAGTGCTCACTTGATGGATTTAAAAAACAAACAAACAAACAAAAAAGAGGCTTCAATGGGAACCTGTACAGTGTCCTTGGTAGTTTGATCATAAGCACTGGCTCTTAAATTGCTACACAATATTGGTAAATATTAGCCCAGTTTATGGAAGAATTTCCTCATTTCTACTCCGTGGCAATGAAACTGATTTGAAAGCACCATCAAAAAGCTGCGGCTGCCCGCCTCTGGCCCTGCACACAGCTCTATGTGTTGCGGCTTTCTCTGCTAGGCAGGGTTCCAAGTCCTTTACATGAATTGATTCTTTTGCCGCCTACATTACAAATGAAGACATTGGCAAGGAGAAGTGGAGTACTGTTCCAAGATTCCCAAGGCTTTACCTGATGTCTTTCAAGGCAAGCCAAGCTACAGATGTGAGTTTTTCCCCATCTTGTCTCCCACTATCTACCCCTTAGGGTATGAATTACAGTGAAGCTTATAAGTAGCCGTGCTTTCAAGGACTTGAGGTGAGAACCTCTGTTGTTGAAAGAAACAAAGGAGCTGCAAGATTTGCAACATCAGCACAATCACCGAGTGTTCTGTTCAATTGTTCTTCTATCATGCCACTACGTTTTAAAAGATTGAGTGTCTGTCTGTGGGTGTGTGTGCTGAGATGTGTCCATGTGAGTACAGGTGTCTACAGAGACCAGAGGAATGAGCTCCCCAATGTGCATGCAGTTCCAATTTGGTAACTTCGAAAACTGTACATGAACTTTGAAAACTCATCAGAATTTAACACTTCTATGGAGAGAGCAGATTCTCACTGGCCTTATCATTAAAATTTTCTGGTTTTTCATGTACTAAGCTTTTAGCAACTAAATGTTGGTTTGATTCCTTGGGGTGTGTTAACATTCCACCACAGGGTTCATCTCTCCTGGTCATTCGTTCTCTCCTTCTTTCCCTTCCTTCCTTAACTCCTTCTCCACTCTAGTTACTCATCCAAAGTCCTGTCAGGAAAGGACAGCATAGATCCTGTGGGATTCTTTATTATGGAACAAATATTAGCAAATTATTGCACACCAGACAGTTGATGACAGATATTTACCCAGAGCCTCTCAGGAGACTGTTTTCCTGATATCATTTCCTGTTGACATTGTAAACAAAACCTGGTCTACTGCCATTCACTGTGGTACTAAAACCCTTTTAAATCATAAATATCTGTCCTTAAATAATTAGGCAGCACATCCAGTTTAAGCACCTAATAGTTACTCTCACACACAATACTGACAAGCATACCAGAAGAGGCTGTATCAAGTGACTGCTCTGTATAAGAGCGTCATAGGTGTAAGTAGACATGAAGGCCCTTCTGGGCTGGACTGAATTCTGCTTCTAGCAATGCACTTACTCAACCACTCAAACTTTCCCTCATCATCTACAAGTGATGTTCAATTCATAGACTTGCTGTGAGGGTTAAATACGGTCATACATATGAGTCCTTTGAACAGTGGTTATGACAGAGGAGGGCAAACACCCTGCACATTATTGTTATTACCTTACGAAGGAAGTATTTAAGCTCCATTGTGTAAGGCAAGGCCAGCAAAAATCAAGTGATATGGAAAACTCCATAAAATATCCTTGGCAGGGCTCTAGTCTTTCCCTATGTAGATAAGGCCTCCCTGACTACTTACTACTCACTCCTGACAATGCGGGGACTGCAGGGTCCAACTTTTATACAGTCACTAAAGCCTGTTGGCACCAGTCAGGCACTCAACACTCAACAGGTTTCGGGAGCTAGGTGGATGGATGCTGAATGAAAAGCAGTTTACAGATGCGCATCCACAGTTACTACTTTGTAAATCCTCCATGGAATCCAAAAATATTCTTTAGCGACTGCTGGAAATACCCTCTTGTTTAATTTCTGAAAGAGCAGATTTTATACATCAAAGACGTACCTGTGAAGGCAATAATTCTATCACACATCTACTTCTATGTAACTACAGCTCTCTGAACTCCTTGTGGGTTTCCCCATTCTCTGACCTCTGAGTCAAACAAAAGAATGCTAATGTTTAGCTCCCACTCATGCTTTCTCCCAGAGATGGAATCAAGCATTCTGGCTACTGAATACCTCTAGAGACGAGAATTCCACACCACACATCCAACTCTTACTGATCATATTTCAATATTAAAGGTTGCCTCCTCGAACTATGCTACTAAGTGCATACACTGTGTATAACATTTCTTAGATCAACCATAATCTGTAATCTTCAGAGATTACAAGCAATCCTAGCCAAACCAGTCTTTTGTTACTGTGCTCGTAAAATTATCCCTTCTGAAAGAGCAACTTTCTTTGTTATCTACGTAAAGAATTTGTGTTTTGATTTATTCAGTTTCTCAGTAAATTAATCCAAAGAGAATTTTCTCATTACGTTTTCCTAAGCACAGTGTTCTCAGCAAGAACAGAAATAATTGCCAATGAAATGAACCTTTCAGAGAATATGCATGCTGCAGTGAGCTAGTCCACAAGCGGACAGATGAGATGGAAAACAGGCTGGACTTGCAGAGGATTAATTCCTGCCAAGGAGGCAGTACTGTGCATTATAAATTAAACAGACTGTTTCAGCAGTGTAGAAAACCTGTGCCCAGGCTGGGAAGAGTGAACAGAAGAGCCTGGGCTGCCACTGGTTCTCTTAGCTTGTTTCCTTCTGTCCAGAGACCTAACCCACCAACTCTGCACAAGACAAAGATCCCAGTAGCTATGTCCTGTATGCACAAGATTATCAGTACAGCTTTGTGGTCAAGCCTTGTCTTTTCAGTTATAAACTACGCTCTCCCACTCCTTCAAGAGAATGAACAGTTCTCTAGCATGGTCCCAATTACTCTGAAAGTTTCCTTAGCACATTTCTGCATAAGTTATTCTGTGAGTCTTCCCATAATTCACCCCTTTTTATGACAAATACAATACCACCTGTCACACTCAGTCCATCAAGAAATTCCCCAAAGACAACCACTAAACTGTGGGAGCAGCTGGGCTGGGGGAGCCTCAGGGGAAGGCCATCATGATGAGTGTCAGGTAAGGTGACATGGTTGTCTCTCTAGGCTTTACTGCCACACTTAGTTACTTCGACCTAAGGACATGCGAATGAGTCTATGCACAGTGCTGTTTGGCGGGTTTCCTTCCAGAGCCAAAACCACATTTTAAATAGCCAACTATATCCCAACACCATGTCAGTATTTTCCCAGTTTAAAAAAAAATTTTTTTTCATAATTTAAGGAAACTGCCTCCAGTCTAATGAATATTGTGGGACTATATAGTAGATGAACCCAAAGATCATTGTTTTAGTAATGATTTTGTATCTTATACTTAAAATGATGCTGTGTAGTGAAGAGTGTGGGATGTTCACGGAGCAGGGTTGTGAGGGGCTGTGAGATGAAAAAGATCAAGATGAGACCCATCAGATCCCCTCACCAGTGGCCAGAGAAAACAAGCTATTATGCACATGGAATACTACACTGTCCTTGTGGACACTACAAGCTTCCCGCTTCCCACACAGTTTATGGGAAAGGAATAGTTCCTATACCAGAGTGTGGTTCTCAAAGCTGGCTCATACATTACATAACAGAACAACCTCTAACATAAAGTAGGTAAATATTCAATAAATATTACATGTTCTGACTGAAAAAAACCTGTTCTTCTAAAGAAACAACTGAACAAAAGTTTTCTGAAATAAGGATGGGAGTTTTGGACACTTGGGAGCTGGATCCTGCACTCAGCCTGATGTTATTAGCTGAAAGGTAATCTAGCTGCCTTCATGAGGCCTAGGTAATGGCTCCTAAGATGTCTCCAGTAGAGTTTAAATTAATGCTGTATCTTTGGTTTACAGCCATGGAAGTAGCGCAAAGAATTTAAAAATGGTGCCTGCAAATAGAATCATCATCCCGTCTCTATTTACTTTTTATTCTGGAACATAATGAACCTCTTAAAAAACAAAGCAAAAACTAAATAACACTTATAGATGCCGAGATACAGGGAAAGTTCACTGCACTCAGTGAAAATAATACACTAATTTTACAATTCTTATGAACTCTTTGAGGAGTGGGTAGTGACGCTTGTGAATGTTTTTAATGTTATAGGGAGGGCACAAAGGTGACACTGCACATGTGTAGAGGTCAGGGGCCCCTTTCCAGAGCTGCTTCTCCCCTGTCTTGTGGACTCTGGGTGGAATTGAGGATGTCAGGCTCAGTAGCATTTACCTACTTTAAGAACCACATTCATAACCCTATATGAACTAGATAAAGAAAATTTTCTCAATGAGTAATCTAATTAGCATGCTTCATGACTTACACTGATAATACTACCATTTTAACACACACTCAAGTGGGTGATGCTCGTCTCTTAAAAATCACCATAGATCATAAAAATTTGTCAGTAATATTTTTAAGTATCTATGAAAATCCCCAAATCACCTGAACATCAAGTTTTAATTATACTTTTGGTTTGGTTTTGTTTTTTAAATTATTTACAAGTAAGAAAAAATATTGAGAAAAATCATTTTTCTGACCATTAAGTTTTTACATTTGATAGTATGGTTTTCTTATGCTCACTGTGAATCTACACTAGCTCACCTTTTTATTCAAAGTGTAAGGTCACCCAATCATATCATATTCAGCTAAATAATTTCAAAGGTGTCTGCCCTCATTTCATTACTAATGGTAAACCTCAAATAACTATTTTAGAAGCCCTGGATCTGTAAAACTAACCAAGTTTCAAAAAAACAAATAACAAAAGCAAAAAGAAAAAAAACAAAATAACTAAAGTAAATCTATTTTAAACAGTGAATGCGTGTTCTTTCAGGGAGACTTAACTTTAGATATATCCTTCATTTTTGCGGTCTCCATGGTAACCACATTTCTTAAGGCTCTGAATATAAATCAGTTCACATCTGTTTCCTATAGAAGGAAGCATTTTTCTACATTCAGGGACAGCCCCTCCACATGGCCATGCCTAAACGTCCCTATGGCAAGCACATACCTCTGTGTGCCCAGGTACCTCGATTTTTTAAAATGACCAACTCCCCTGCAGCCTAGAGTTGGACATCCCCCAGTCTCTGATGGCTCCATTAATTCTGCAGGGCCTGTAACAAACATGATAAAATGAGAAGTTAAAAAAGACAGATATGACAAAGTTGAGCAGAAAGCTAAAGATCTAAATGTGTAGGATGAGAACAGGATAGAGGAAAAAAATGAGAAAACAAAACAAAATTCCATTTTTCAAACAATGAATACCTATAGAAAAACAAGTAGTTCTTGTAAAAAATTAAAACGATTTATACAGCTCTGTTTTTATAAGATTTCCCCATGGTTCACTTTGTCACAAAGGTTATTTTCTTTAATACTGAAATGGTAAATTTTGAAATGACCTTCTTATAAGATACAGACAACAAAGGTACTTAAATCTGATTTGATAGAAAAAATTGAAAGAACTGTTATCAAATAACAAATTGTACAAGAATATTCAATGTGAAAACTTCAAACACTAGATTGTCGAATACGAAATGCAAGCATCCTGTTGGAACTGCCTGAGCCAGCTACATTGCCATGGTTAGAAGGCACAGAAGCCTTACAAATCTCTGCAGCTCTTCTGCATTTTGGACCATCCTCAACCACATGTGTAGGTGAATGCCCTCCCAGATGTGGCTCCAACATGCATGACTATATGAAATTTAGGATTTTCATTTTGCTTCATAAAAAGCACAACACAAATGCATATCTGAAAGTCTGATTTTGAACTTCTCTTTCATGTTTTACAATACTGATATCCTTTATGACTATGTTATGTATACAAACTATGTGGCATAGTTTGTTTAACTAATACCTTCTTCCAACTGTTTTATTTTAGACATTCTGCAATTAGAAAATACACACTTATGTTGTAATGCACCCTCAGTCTGCATATAGCCCACATAAAGTTACACACTGTATAATGAAAAAACATTATTAAAAGAAAAGACATCTGACTATAGTATACTGTATTTATTTCTCATATTTTTCTCATACAGTGTACATATTCTTTAAAATTGAGATCATGATATATTATCCACCCACCCCACCCCACCCCGTATTGCTTTTTTTTAATTGAATTGAAATCTTTACTGAAGAAACTACAGACTCACATGTAATATAAATCATAAGGCACAAGGGGGCTGCCTTTATACTTTTTTCAATTTCTGCCAGTGATAACATTTTCAAGGCTACAGTATAAGGTTTCTTATTAGAATATTTGATACTGAAATTATAATCATCTGACAAATTATCCTCTAGAAATCAATACTAATTTCAAAAGGTTATGTTTAGTTGTAAATATAGCTCAAAACACCATACTTCTTTAGGCAATATGGATTTTTTCTTTTATAATTTTGTGCATGTGTGTGGGTGTGTGTGTGCGGGGGGGTGTTCACACGTGTGTGCATACATGTGTGCATGCATGTGTACACGTGCTTGCTGGTGGCAATTAAAAGAGACGAAATCAGAAGAACAGAAAGAAGTGGAGATAGGAGACAAAAAGAAAGCACATTATTCAAAAAATGAAACCACTGATGATGACAACTCAGTGTATCTTACTTAGCGGAGCCTGAAGAGGATGCCCAGTCTTGGAACACCAGCCTACAGGGTGAATATCTGGAGAGTCTGCATCAATCCAGTAGTCATAGCAACTGCTCCAGCCATCAAAGTGAACCTGGGTGGCAGAAAGAAGAACACAGAGTCAGAGAATACTTCTGTAAAACTTCAACCCACGGCACAAGATTTTTGTCCTTTTTTTCTGATTTACACAGTATATTAACTATCTAATAAATCACTTCAATTATTTAACTCACAACCTGAGATAAAAGATGCTTTTGAAACTATCAGCGAATTATCTAAACACAAGTAACTGCCTTCCCAAAGATGCATCAACAGTTCTCCATGATTATTATACATATCCTTAAATACTGTCCACAAATGCAGAAGAGAAGCCATACGCAACATCTTCAAACAGCAAACAAGACACTCAGAGATACTGCTGAGGTGATTTAAAAATCAGAGGGGGAAGGAAGATGGGAAAAGCAGAAAGGTAGACCTTGGAGGTAAATATAAAGTAAGATTTTTTTTTTAAAGTACACTGCCTTGCTAGAAACAAATCCCTGAACCATACCATTAAAATAGCCTTCTTGTTTTTTTAAGTTGATTTATTTTTATTTTATGCATATGGCTGTTTTGCTTGCATATATGTCTATGCACCACATGCATGTCTACTGTCTGCAGAATCAAGAAGAGGGCACTGAATCTCCCAGGACTGTGGTTCCAGACAGTTGTGAACCTCTATGTAAGGGTTGGGGGTTAAACATGTGTCTTCTCTGAAGAAGATCTGGTGCTACTGAGCTCCAAAACAATCTTTCTTATAAATAACCATAGTATCTCTTAAGATACATTATGGTCATAGTTGATACTGTTACTGCTCACCAAGGTAATATATATATATATCCTTTAAATGATTACATCACAAATACACATTATAATATATGTAATGTTACTTTTTAAAATCAAAGGTTATACTGAAGTACTTTATATATTTTACTTTAAGATTGTTTGCCAATTTGACTCTTCTGAAGTGTATGAATCTTTCAATCTTTACAAGACACTAGATATTCTAGAGGAATGCCTGAGTAAACACAGTATAATCATTGCAGGAGACCAAACTAAGCTCATAAAAGACAATACTGATCAATTTAAGTACATAAAAATGTAAAACATCAGAGCATAAATCTGTTTATAAGCAAGATTAAAGACTCCCAAAATACACTCACTATACAAATGACAAAGCCTTTTCTTCCTTACTAAGCCCAATCTATCAATAAGAAAGGGTGAGAACTGCATCAGAAAGACAGCAAAGAGATGTAATGGCTCATCGTCGAGAATATAAACACAGGTGGTTGGTATGTCTGTAAAGAGACAGTTTATTCGCAATAAAAAACTTACAAATTAGAAGTACAAGATGAGATTCTCTCATCAGCCTGCCTAAATAGCCACATTTTGTTGAGCCCTAATGCTCGAAGAAGAAGCTTAAAGGGAATTTGCATAGAACATCGACAGTGACCATAATGTCTGGAAGAGCTACTTGGAAAAGCAACAGAATACACTGTCTTTGACTTATCATTTTAGTAACTTGTTGTTTACAGGTAAGGCAGTATGCAGTTATTATAGATACATACAGATGTATATGGGCTCAAAATAATCCAGTTTTTCCATCCTACAAGTCAGTTTTCCTAGAATTAAAGCCCTAAAGAATACCTCTCCTTGGAAAAATCATGGGTAGCACACTAAAGAGGGGACTAGGGCTCATGGAGATTCCCTGCCTACCTAATAAGCAGATAGTTAGAAGGCACTAGGCAAGAATCAGAAACAGTCATTCATTATTCTCAAACAAAGAATATGAAGCATTGTCTAAGGTTAGTTAACTCTCAAAACTTGGTTCTCTTCGATCAAAGTAATGTCAAAATAACATTAAAAATGACATTCATCATTTGCTGAAAATAGAAAGTTATTACATCATTTACACCACAAAGAGAGTAAGGATAATTTATATGTTAAATTGATTTGAAGCCTTCTGGTTTCCAACTGACCTGAGCCTTCATCAGCAAAGCTGCTTATTGTGCTAGGCAGTGGCTAATACAGAGATGCATAGCTGTCTAAGATGCTGAGACGATAAGACAGTCACGTGATGGGCCCCAAATGGGTCCTCCCCATAGAGCAGCCCAAGGTCAGGAAATGTTGAAGAATATGGGGTGGGAAGAGTGGAAAAGCTGGAGGTTGAGGAGCTATGACTTCTGTATATGACATGCCTATGGAACTCATGAACTCACTGTAGCACTGGAAAACTGGTAAGACTGTGCTTGTCTTTACTGAGAGGAAGGGTGCCACATTCATCTATAGTCACATGACAGTAAATAGCACCCTACTGTTACTCTTGTTCATGAAGGAGACATCATTTAAACTCAAGAGGGTCACAGACCATAAAAGACATAAAACCAGAAGGAGGGCTGCTTGGGAAGAATTGGGGTTAAAATGCCAGAATTAATTAATTCTACATGAATAAGACTGTTAAAGACAAAAAGCTAAATTCCAAAAAGGAATAATAGGGCATAAGATAAAATGGAAAATTTCCACAACAAAAGAGAAATATGAGCCAATCTATGATGCTACCCCATGTTGGATCTAGTCATACAAGTGGTTTGTTTTTTTTTTTTTTTTAAGACAGGGTTAGTCTGTGTAGCCCTGGCTTTCCTGGAACTCATTCTGTAGACCAGGCTGGCCTAAAAATCAGAAATCCGTCTGCCTCTGCCTCCCAAGTGCTGGGACTACAGGTGTGCGCCACCACTGCCCAGCTCATACAAGTGGTTTTAATGAGAAGGGCCTCCATAGGCTATTTTTAACTGGAATTATCAGTAACATATGGGATGATTTTTACAAAGATTCCAAATTATACTTCTAGGTGAAAAGTATGTAACAATTTCCCTTAACTGCAGTTTTAAGTAGCAAAATGTTCTGTATTATATGCTATCCATAACAGTGCCCATTTTCTTTAGAAATTTAATTTAAAAAAACAGCATTATTATTGACTTGTTCTTAATGTATTGCCTTAGTTACATTCCTATTGCTGTGAAGAGGCCCATGACCAAAGAAACTTATAAAAGAAAACACGTGCAGGGTGGTGGTGGTGCATGCCTTTAATGGGAGGTGGAGGCAGGCGGATTTCTGAGTTCGAGGCCAGTCTGGTCTACAGATTGAGTTCCAGGACAGCCAGGGATACACAGAGAAACCCTGTCTCAAAAAACAAAACAAAACAAAGTAAAACAAAAGAAAAACCAAAAAAAAAAAAAAACCCAAAACACAAGAAAACACTTAATTGGGGTCTTGCTTATAGTTTCAGAGTTAGACCATGACTACTATAGAAGGAGGAGCATGGCTATGAGCAGGCAAGGCTCTGGAGAAATAGCTGAGAGCTCAGATCTTATCCTCAAGTTGGAGGCAGACAGACAGAGACAGAGACAGGGCCTGGTATAGGCTTTTGAAACGTCAAAACTCACCTCCAGTGACACCTCTCCTCCAACAAGGTCACTCTCCTAATTCCTCCCCAAACAGTTTCACACATTAGGGAAGGACCAAGCATTCAAATAAATGAGCCTGCAGAAACCATTCACATTCAAGCCACCACTCATGCAGTATTGTCTTCTTACCCAAGATTGCACCTTCTAGAGCAGTGGTTCTCAACCTTCCTAATGCTGTGACCCTTTAATACACTTTCTTTGCTGTGGTGACCTCCAACCACAAAATTATTTCATTGCTATTTCATAACTGTAATTTTGGTACTGTCATGAATGGTAATATGAATATCTGATATGCAGGATATCTGATATGCAACCCCTAAAGGGGTCACACCCATAGGTTGAAAAACACTGTTCTATAGTGTCCATTGCCTGAGATCAACTATGGTATAAAAATGTCAATAGAAAATTTCATATTGTGATAAAGAGACTGGTCTCATACAACATTTTATAGTATATTACTATAGTTGTCAAATTATTGTTGTTATTCTCTATATCTAGTGCATGAATTATACTTTATTACAGTATGTATGTATAGGTAAAAGCACAGTGTATATGGGACTTTATGTGTGGTTGCAGGCATCCACTAGCAATCTCGGAAGACATCCCCAACAGACAAGAGAATATGACTATAAGCCCATTCACAAAAGCACCTCATGTATGGCATCATTCTTACTGTGATCAGGCTCCAAAGATCGCCTGACAGGCAAGAACCAGGATAAAAACAGACCATGCTAACTAAGAGACATTTGGGGGGTGGATCAACGGCTCAAAAGCTAAGAGCATCTGCTGCTCTGGCAAAGAACCTCAATCACTGGTCAGCTCCAGCTTCATGGGCCTAGTGGCCTCTCTGGTATCCAAAGGCACATGTACACATACATACTCATACATACACAGTAAATAAGTACATAAGCAAACAAACAAACAAGAAAAAAACAAAACCAAAGAAACCCAAAACAACAAAAAACAAAAAAACCAAGTAATATTATAAAGAGAATTTGAGGAATTTGAGAAAATAGTCAAAGAAAATGAAGAAAAACTATCAGTAATACATACATATCTGTCTATCTATCATATATCCGTCTGTCCATCCATCCGTCCATCCATCCATCCATCCATCCATCCACCCACCCATCCATCTACCCATCCATCCATCCATCCATCTACTCATCCATCTACCCATCCATCCATCCAATATTTGTTTTTGTTTTATTTCTTTTTTTTTTTTTTTCCTGGATAGGGTTTATCTCTGTAGCCCTGGCAGTCCTGGAACTCCATTAAAGGTGTGCACTACCTCCGCCCAGCTTGTAGATCCTTTTTTTTTTTTTTAAAAAAGCAGGGACTAAATAATGTTGTTGTTTTTTTTTCTTTTTTAATTTCTTGAAAATAAAAAAAAAGATGCAATTAAAAATGCAACAGAAAAAAAAATGCAACAGAAAGTTTGAAAAATAGATGAAGGCATTTCTAAGCAAAGAGAATTTTAAAACAAGTGTGTCAACCTGACAGTCAATATCAAAGCAGTGACTTCCAAAAAGAGAAGAGAGATAAGGAAACAATCAAAGCAGAAGTCAGGCATGTCAGAGACCGCAGGACACAAAGCACCAGCGTGGGAAGGCATGAGGACCCAGTCTGACAAACAGAAAGACAGCATCACAGAGCATGAGGCCACCAGAGACAGCCCCAAGTGCTCCAGAAACAAGCCCATGGCCCAGAGAGATGCAATCAGACTCCGTTAGTGCCCAAAAGCTGCAGGAGATGCAGCAGAGCAATGCAGGACTACTGGTAAATGCTTCTCCTTAAGACACTTAGCCCAGTCACACTAACCGTCAGAAGCAAAGCCAGTAGATGGACACTTCTCTTTACGTCTCTAAAATGTCCTTTCTTAGGGAGACGCATGTCTTCTTAGGAAACGATATGCTTTGCGGGACAAAAGCATGCCAAGCAAACAAGGCATGTCATCATACTTTGCAATTTTCAGGAAAATGAAATGCAATCGACTGAAAAAAGACCTGAGGATGCAGCCTGTGGACCAGCCAGGCTGAGAGTATGAACTCACTTAGCTGCAGCAGGCAACTGTAGAGTTGTGGAGAAAACAGTTCAAGGAAAAGAGAGATACCCATTGCTGACAAACATACTAGCACATTTGACTGACAACACATCAAAACTACTGTAGCATTTGTAAAAACCTAATGAAAAGATAGAAATCATTAAAAAAAAAACTACAAAGAGAGCATTTATAACAGAAAACCAAAAGAAATAATTTTAGAAGACCTGACTTAGAAATGAACAAGAGTAGTGTATCACACTAGTAACAGGAACGGGTGAAAAAACAAAAACAAAACAAAACACGGCCAGATCGAGATCCTGAGTTCCATAACAGAGAGAAGTAAAAGATTGAACTGACAAGTCACGTGGTGGTGGCACACACCTTTAATCTCAGCACTCAGGAGGCAGAGACAAGAGAATCTTTGTGAGTTTGAGGCCAGCCTGTTCTATATACTGAGTTCCAGGACAGCCAGAGTATGCTACATAGTGACACACTGCCTCAAAAGTAATGAAAATTCTACTGAGAAATACCAGTGCACAGAAAGTATTTAAAGAACTGGAGACAAACGGTCACACCAAGCTGAGGCCAGCAGGCGTGAGTGAAGAGGGAGGTGGCATTAACTACTTCATGTCCTGTCCTCAGAGCGGGTTAACATTGTCTTCAACAGGACCTAGCAAGAATGACTGTCTCACCACCAGACTGCGGTATATATCGTAAAAGAGCTTAAGAGCTGATCTCATTTAACAGAGTTGACTTTACTTCTGAGACACTGAAAATATGAAACTACACAAGTAACCGTGTGCTCCTCTTCCTTTTCTGTAAAACAGAAACAATCCTACTTGCTATAGTACCTCATGAGGCAGAAGGAAAACTCCTCCTGGTGCTGGATCCTTTTTTTTCCCAGTGTCTCTGCTGAATCTGTAACTGAGTCTCTGTCCGTGAACTGGCCCTTTAAGGTATTTACAAATAGGCTGTCTGCACAAGTTCAGTTTGTAACCTTCAGTCTAAAGTCAAATGATTTCCACATAGCCACAGCCAGCTCCTCTTTGGATACGAAGGAATGAGCAAGATGTTTTCTAAGACTCGGGGCTCAGCAATTAGTTAAAAGATGGGGGCCAGTCTGAGGCTTCCCCATTAATTAGTGAATCTGCATCTCACAGTATTTCATTTCTCTGGATCAAAGTTCACACACACACAAAGAAAACAGTATTATTTCAAATTAATGCAAAGCCTAACACTTTATAGTCTCAGGATGTCATTATTTTTAGTATATCTCTTTACAGAATCCATTATGGATTTGTACTTTGGGGTAAAAAAAAAACCAAACAAATATTTTACATACTAATTTCAACCTGAATATTTTGCTTCCCAACACTAAGAACCCTATTGAAATATTCTCCATTAATGTAATGCAGACACATAGTAATTGCTTTTCCCGTGGACTGCTGAAGTCACTCTCTGTTTAACGTCAAAGCCAGCACAGCTGTGCTTTCCTTTTCTTGAGACTTTATCTTTGAACAGTCCTTCTGGCTGCTTCACTAAGCTACTAGGACTAACACTCAGAAGGATTAAACAACATTCCAACATTGTGATGCCAAAGTGCCCTTTGAAGAACTTGGGTGCTTCATATTCCTACCCACCATTACAGGATGCTAAGTTTATTTCTCAAACTAAAAAGTTGTCATCATATACACTGTAGCGGCTGCTATGAAAATCATATTATGCTTGACAGATTTTTCTGCTCATTTATTAAAACTTGTTTATTATTAGATGTTTATTCAAACTCCAGCTCTAAAGCTCTGATTTCTTCATGATTTCTACACCACAACCAACTATAATGAAAAAGAACATGCACTAGAATGCCAGGCAGTGGGGGTGCACATCTTTAGTCCCAGCACTTGAAAGGAGTCAGGTGAATCACAGTTTAAGGCCAGCCTGGTCCAGGGCAACCAGGGCTACAGAGAGAAACCCTATCTCAAAAAAAATAACCTAAAGTGCTTGGTTTATCCAATCTGCCTGAGTCCCAGCCTTATCGGAACATCATCAGCTGACGACACACATGGCCCGCCCCACATCGACTACAAATGTCCAGCAGCATGAACAAGACCCTCATAAAATGTCATGTGCTGACACTCACTGACTTGCCATTTATAGAGATCCTAACAAGAACATAGGCTGGGTAGTGTTCTGGCCAGAGAGAGATATGACTGACAAACCCAGAAACCTATGAGGCCTTTGGGCGCTGTATCAGAACAACACACTGACATACTACATGTGAGTGGGTCCAGCCAAATCTTTTAGACACTGACTTCACTTAGGAGAAGTAGCTGATGTCTTAATAATCCAATTTTAGTAAAAACCTGATTTTATTTATAAAGTTATTTATCTTTATTTATACAATATAAACTCTGACTAATTGAGTCAATAAAAATGCCTAAGAATTTTAAAAGTGTACTATTAGGACAGGATGCATTTCTTTTCTTTTTGTTTTTTGGGTTTTTTTTTTGGCGGCGGAGGGTTCTTCAGAACAGGCTTTCTCTGTGTACCTCTGGCTGTCCTGGAACTCACAGAGATCCACCTGCCTCTGCCTCCTGAGTGTTGGGATTAAAAGTGTGTGCTACCATCACCACCTGGCTTCTTTTTCTTCTGAAGAAAATGTTACCCTAATATGTTATATCTGCTTTCTCTAATACACATTTAAAATATTAAACTACCTTCATAGTTAAAAAGAAAATATCTTGGGGCAATTAAAGGAAAAAGTTGAATGGGTACAAACCCACAAAGAGGCAAAGTCACTTTGCATATTCCTTTGGTTTTGGTAATTTAACTATAGTGATTAAGTTCACTGTCTAGTAATATTTCCATTTAAGATGTAGATTAACAAAGGCAAGCAAACCAGGGCAGCCAAGGCTTACTTTTATCCGGTGATCATCCGTGTCTGCCACAGTTGCTACTCTGATGAACAGTGGGTTTCTTTTGTCCACAGCTTCAAGCTTCATTTTTTTCTGGAATCCATGTGGAGGTTTCTGCCATATGAGAAAGATGTTACGGTGTGGGGGAGCAGGTTAATTACAACAGTAACAGCTGAATTGTTTAGTTTACCAGTTCTCAGATTAGCACTGAGTGACACTCTCCAGCCAAAACACACAGCTCAGCATACGTGCAGAAGGACAGCCTACTTCCTAACTGAAGAGCAGACAAGAGAGAGGTAGAGATACTGTAGCTATGTGATCAACCAAAAAGAGAACCAGACATTTTCCTTACTGGTCAAGGTGCCATGGTCAAAGCAATATACATAAAATTTGTTTTTAAAAAAGACAGAAAAACAAAGTGGCTGAGACGAAACATCTAGAAGTGGTTATAGGGCAGGAAAAAAGATAATTTAAAACAAGTCAGCAGTCTATCTGAACATGGGGGAACAGCTCTTCTGGGAAAGAAAGCTTAACACTCAGAGGACACCATTAAGGTTCTAAGAAAGCCACAAGCTGAGGAAGACAAGGCAGATACTCTGCACGGCACTGGTATATTATATAAAATAACGTGAAGAGCAGAATGCTCACTGCTACAATTCTTGCCGGTCAACTGGAAAAAGTCTTAGTTCTACCTCTCAAGTAACACCAGACACGCAGGCTGTAGGCTGCCCATGTATCTGGTTAAAAGCCTGGACACTGGAACCAAACAAACAGGCAGAAAAGACTGCACTCGCCCCATTAGCCTTACCTTGTTTAAAGCCTGACTATCTATCTGTCAGGTAGAATCATAGAAACTCTTTCTCAAGCTTTCTCTCCATTTATCATGATTTTTTTTTCTCTTTAAAAATCCATGATATTCTTTCTACCTATATTGTGAACCGTTCTTACTAATTAAGTCTATCATTAATTAATAATAATTTCTGTATGAAAGTATCATCTAAAGGAGAAGACTGTCCCTAGAAGACAAAGCCATGTTTAAAAAATATATATTATTTTGTTTTTGAAACACAATCTCTGTACGTACGTAGCCTGGACTGGCTTTCAATTGTGCTGCTTCTCACTCACCTCTCAAATTCTAGAATTACAAACATGTATCTAACACCTGACTCTTACAAAAAACATTTAACATATTTATTTTCTCATTAAATTTATGAGAAAATATAAAGCAATATGTTTAAGTATCTGGGGAGATAGAGCCACTGGTAAAGTACTGAGCTTGTAAGTTAGCTCTGTAGAACCCACATTTAAAAAGTAAACATGGTGTGCACCCATGTAATCCCAGCTGGAGATGTGGAGGCAGATCCTATGGCTCACCCAAGCCAACTTAATCTAATTGGCAAGTTTCAAGCCAGTGAGACACACTACCAAGATGGACAGTATCTGAGGAAAAACACTTCAGGTTCTCCTGCATCCCGTTTCTATGTCTGCCTCTCCAACACATGTGCATCCACATACATAAATTACAGTAATAATTTGAATTCTCAAAAGACTTTGAAGGCTGGAGAGATGGCTCAGAGGTTAAGAGCATTGGCTGTTCTTCCTGAGGCCCCTAATTTAATTCCCAGCAACCAGATGATGGTTCACAACCATCTGAAATGAGATCTGGTGCCCTCTTCTGGCCTGCAGGCATACATGCAGGCAGAATGCTGTGTATATAATAAATAAATAAACCTTAAAAAATGATTTAAAAAAATTATTAGGGCTGGAGAGATGGCTCAGTGGTTAGAGCACTATCTGCTCTTCCAGAGATCCTGAGTTCAACTCCCAGCAACCACATGGTGGCTCACAACCATCTTAATATGATCCAATGCCCTCTTCTGGTGTGTCTGAAGACAGTGATAGTGTATTCACATATATTAAAAAAAAAAAAAGATCAAGGAGAGAAAAAAAGGAAGACTTTGAAAACATCTCCCTTGGCTCTTTGCTTTCTTCTCCTAAGTCAGCTTACTAGTTTCTTACATGATCACAAGTAAACGGCACCATCAATACATATTAACCAAACAGTGTGTAGCAAATTCTCTTACCACTTTGAAAGCTCTTGCAGGAGCAGGTAAAGAATTTGTTTCTTCTAAATATTTATCCCAGGAAAAGTGTTTCACATGCGAATAGCCTAAGAAATAAAGAACATGAATCCTGAGGGTGTGATGAAAATGAACCAACAAATAGCCCTACAAAAAAAACATGATATGGCAAGAAGTTAGCCCAGGAAAGGATGCTCAGTCACAGAGAAACTCAAAGCTGCTCGCTCCTCCAGAGCTCCTGCTCATCTTAATGATTAGCTAGTTCCTTTCTGATCTGTTATTTTGACTATCACTGTTTAGATGTGATTGTATAAAATATTTATCAAAATAGTGAAATAAAACATGGGATTTACAAGCATTATTGATGAAATATTTCAAATAACTCCTTCTTTTGTTAGATCGAATAAAGAAACATGCTCAAGTCACAGAATATTCTTTAAAGAAGGTGCAAAAATAACCCCTGTATGCCTCTGTTCTCTCTAGAGTCCCAAATCCTTTAGGCAGCCATGATGGTGGCATACTTGATACAAAACTTGCCCCATGAAGAGGACTTACAAAATCTGTGAATACATTAGCTGTAATCGAAGTCAGGTTTCTACCCACCTGTATAGACACAGACAGAAGAAAACTAAAATGAAGCCAATAGTTTAAGATTTGAATCATGGTCAGAGGTATCAATGGAACTATTTTAATATACACTAGCACTGAAATAGAAAAGAATACAAAGTTCTGCATATGCTTACAGATGCATATTCCCTTCAGCCACTGAGTTGCCTGATACGTGCATCACCCTGCTAGGAGTAAACAAATAGTAGCCAGACTGTGATTACTAAATAGCATTCACCACTTAAAAAAAAAAAAAAAAAATCTTGGCAAAATGGCTACAGTAGGGCTGCGTCAAGACCAGTGAGTATACAGTATTTGTTGCTGCTCAGTAGAGCAGTTTCAAATCCCAAGATAAACAGGGGAAAAGGAGGTTGATCAATCACCATAAAGGGGCTGTTACTTGGTACACCTTTAAAGCACCTACATAAAAGTCAATAATAAACTCTCAGATAAAGTTAGTAGGTGCTGCTAGAGAGATGGCTCAGTGTTTAAGAGCACTGGCTGCTTTTCAAGAGGTCCTGAGTTCAATTCCCAGCAACCACATGATAGCTCACAACCATCTTAAAATGATCCAGTGCCCTCTTCTGGTGTGTCTGAAGACAGAGACAGTGTACTCACATACATGAAATAATAACAATAACAATAGTACTACTACTACTACTAATAATAATAAAGTTAGTAATCTACAGTTCTGCAAAGATATAAATAAATTAACTGGATGAGTAACTAGGAAATGAAAAAGCTAATCTTTGCAGAAGAATATCAATTAAATATACAAAAATAGATAGGATAAGAAAAATTACCATTACCCATTAACATTTGTCAACTTAGAATAGTAATTAGTTCCAAATAGAAATATTAGCAGATGGTATAACTGAAAGACAGATGAGATAGGAGGTAATTACAGAATCTCAAATATCTCTAAAAGATAGTATTGGTAGAGAAGACTGGCAAATACATCCTTGATCAAATGATGGCAAAAAGACAAACTGAAATGTTGTGCCCTTGAGAGGTTTACAAGAGGGCAGTGGTGGCGCACACCTTTAATCCCAGCACTTGGGAGGCAGAGGCAGGTGGATTTCTGAGTTTGAGGCCAGCCTGGTCTACAGAGTGAGTTCCAGGACAGCCAGGGCTACACAGAGAAACCCTGTCTCAAAAAAACAAAAAAACAAAAAACAAAAAAAAAAAGAAAGAAAAAAAAGAGAGAGAGAGGTTTACAAGAAAAACACTGTGATCATCCTCAGGAAAAAAAAAAAAAAAAGGTTCAACTTGGAGACAGACATGGGGTTGCTTTCATTTAGTCAAGAACCAGAGGCAGGTGGATCTCTGTGACTTTGAAACCAGCATAGTCTACATAGCGAGTTCCAGGCCATCATGGCTACCTAGTAAAAGCATCTCAAAAACAACACTAGGAAAAATAAAAACAAACAAATGTACAGTTTGGGTCTAGTCATTGGGAAATGTCCATCAGACTCAAATAACGCTACTCTGTACAAAGTAATTAGTCTATAAGTCTCACACATACTAAGGTTTGATTGTCAAGGGGACTCTCGCTGGGGACTAGAGGATGAGCAGCTGAGGAGCTGAGACTCTTTTGCATGAAAGACAGTGCGGGGACAGCTGTCAAACACAAATGGACCCTGGGCTCCAGTTGAAGTACATCTGAATTTGTAAGTACTCTTGAACCTTCTCTACAGAGGCTGTTTCCAAGTAAGTAAAAACAAAGTATGCGAGCTTACATTATACTCACACACACATTTTAAAGCTCATCTAGTGAGCTTACCTTGTACATTTGAACTTATCAGAATGGTCTAAAATAAGACACTACATACAGAAAAAGCTCATAAACTTCTAAACTATGAAGATTGAAAACTGCGGCTGTCTCTACTTCACTCTGAACTTGTAATCAAACATACATAAACTTATAATTTAGAAAACTCAAAATAAAAGTAGTTGTATGTAATAGCCACTCACACTGCTGGCCACAGAGGGGCAGCCCATGTCCCACCTTCAACACCATGTCCACTTTTTTTACCCGCCCACATTATCAACCGCTAAGGCAATTAAGTCCAAAACTGAATCTTAAGTTAAAAACACAAAGGTCTTTTGGCACACTCTGTGGAAGAACATGATATCTAAGGTTGCAATACAAATGATGCCAATATTAATGCTCACAGTTGAAGCTCTACGGAGGTCAGCGAGTTAGTGCCTGCAGCTGCTTCGGGGCTTTGTAAAATGTAGCTGTAACTCTCACATGTATGTGTTTACTTACCCCCTGCAGCCACTTCTGCACTGTGACTGAGCTGAGCAATTGTGACAGGGACTCTAGGGCACCCCGAATTTAAAGTATATATTCTCTTTAAAAACAAAAACAAAAACAAACAAACAAACAAAAAACAAACCAAAAAAAAAAAAAAAAAAAACCTTGGCCAACTCTTCCAAGTATCTGAAAAGCATTAGAGAAGCTATAAATCCAAACCTGGAGGAGTAATCAGGGTTCTTCGATGTTCTTTACACCAGCCAACTGGATGAATGTGTGGACTGTTTGATTCACACCTGCAGGTTATATAAATTAAAAAGACGGAGTTACTAGAGAGATAGGCAAATGCTGTCACAAATCTTTAAGAGGAAAATTAATTAGTGGTTATGAACACATCTAAGAGTTCTATTTATTACAATCTATCTAATTTGAAAAAAAAATGCTAAAAAGATCTTTCTTTGAGCCGGAGAGGAGAAATGGCTCAGTGGTTAGGAGCACTGACTGCTCTTACAAAGGTCCTGAGTTCAATTTCCAGCAACCACATGGTGACTCACAGCCATCTGTAATGGGATCTGATTCCCTCTTCTGCTGTGTCTGAAGACAGCAACAGTGTACTCATATCCATAAAAGAGCTGTCTTCAGATAAATATATGTATGAAGTTTTCACACATAAAATTTATTTTTGCTAGATAAATATTACATGGATTTGACACTACAGTTTTATTCCCCCCACACACACAAAAAGTTAAAGCTCAAAACTTCAAAGGCAGAAAAAGTACAAAGAGAGCATCATTTCCAAGCATCACAGGAGAAAATCATACAAAAGGGAAGCTAAAATTACTTTAGCATCTCTAAGGCACATGTGCACAACCACTGTCAAAACTCAGCATGCTAGAGTACTATGGAAGTCAGAAAACTAGTGAGGGGCCATGGGATGGGAGCGTTCATGGAGAGAGAGCACACATGGTGTTGACGGGAGGTGGGGTGGGTTGGAGGGTATAGGGAGGAGAGGTGGGGGGAGAGAAGGGAGGAGGGGAAAATGGAACAAAGAGGCCTAATTAGCACTAAACTTTATCATGTGGGAACTTACTACTTCCATGACTTCCTTAAAATAGTAAAGTAAATTACACACACACACACCACATACCACACACTCTCACACAATGAGTATAAATAGATTTATCCTATAATGGAGGCCAGAGGCAATACTTCTTCTGGATACTATAGTACTATAGACTAGCAAAGGCCCAAGGCAAATGGACAAACTCATATAGTAGTAGCATGCTATTTCTGTTCCCCCTTTAGAACTGCAGATACCAGAGAATCACACACTTCTTCCTCTGTCGCTTTCTCCTGCCCACCATCTTTACTGTAATTAAGCATGCATTAATTGTAATCAGCACACAAAGCTGGTGCTTTTGACTCCGTGTGCCTAAGCACATTTGTTCTGTGAATCCCTCACCTCAGCATGGGACAGGTTTCACCCATTTAGCTACATGGTCATTTTTTTTAAGTATCAAGTGAAGATAATACGCTAAAAAGTAACGTGTCCAGCCAGCAGCACAGGACAGACCCTGAAGAAATAGCCACAGTAAAGTAGGTTTCTTGCTTCTAATGGCCCTTACAATATTGTAGAAAGGAACTGTAGAAATAAAAGATAACTGTCCTCTGTATCTGTAGAAGATTGGAACCCAGGAACCCTGAAGATAACAAAGCCAGAGATGCTTAAGTACCTTATATAAATGGTGTGACATTTGCATATTCTGTGTGTGCATTCTCCTGGGTACTTAAATCACCCTTAGAGTACTTACACTGGCTAGTACAATGTAAATATTTAGAGGATTGTTATGGGGGAATGAATTATATTAAGAATGTGCATGCTTAGTAGTTATGCAGCCAACACAAGTCTAATTAAATTTATGAGCTGTGGTTGGCATGAAGGAAAAGCAGATGAAGTAAAGGAGTGGACTGAGAAAGGAAAGGTGTCCTCTATATAGCCTAGCCGAGGCTGCCTCTTATGAGGCAATGTGAGCAAAGACTTGTGTGATGAGAGGGAAGTGAGCCGTTCAGACACAGAAAGGAAACTTCTGTGCGCAGGTTCTAAAGGGGACCCCAGTAGTTCTGTATCAGGGATACAAAAGGATGGACTGGAGGAAACAGACAATACAAAATGGTCTCAGCATGGAAGGCCACTTAGTATGTGACAAAGAGTAAGATTTTAGTCAAGATTGATACAAAACATTGTGGATGGTATTCTACAGAGAGGGAGCTTAGCCTGATTTATATTTTTTTTTGGTTGGTTGGTTGGTTTTGGTTTTTCAAGACAAGTTTCTCTGTGGTCTTGGAACTCACTTTGTAGACTAGGTTAGCCTAGAAATTTACCTACCTCTGCCTCCTGAATGCTGTGATTAACGGCGTGTACCACCACTGCCCAGCTATGATTTAGGTTTTAAAGTAATTATTTTAACTACTTTGCAAACAGTAATCCATGCCGGAGGCCAGTTGGACATTGCCACAAATGATCCCAGAGGCTTTGACCACAGTGGAGGTAGTGAAAACAGAGATCAATCAGGTCTGGGTGAACATTGTAAACAGAGGACTGAGCGTTGGTTGGGACATTTAACACAGGATATGAGTGAACTGAGGAAGTCAGGATATTATAAGGCTGGGGCACAGGCAACAAGAATGCACTGCCATTTCCTGGGCTAGGAGAGACGGTTAGCAATGCCTCTGACATTTCAAGCGGTGAGTGTGAATGCCTGCTCTGAGCATGCTTAGCAGACGTGTTAGGCAAACAAGAAAGAATGTCAAATAAACCTCTGACACAAAAGTCTGGAAAGAGATCACACAGAAAGAAGACTAGGGCTCAAAGTATCCATTCTGGCGTTATCATCAGCATTTGAGCTGATACTTAATCACCTGCAGACCTGAGACAATCCAGAGGGGGCAGGGGGAGAGAGAGAGACAGAGACAGAGAGACAGACAGATAGAGACAGAGAGAGACAGGGAGGGAGGGAGGGAAGGAGGGAAGGAAGGAAGGAGAGAGAGAGAGAGAGAGAGAGAGAGAGAGAGAGAGAGAGAGAG